GATGGTCTGAAAACTTTTGACCCCCCCCCCCCACCCCACCCACTCCCCCCTGTAAATTGTTGTACACGCGCCTTGCAGAGGTGTTCATTCCTAATCTTTTGAAACAACGCCGTGGTGGCTTACTTTGTCGTGGTCAAGAGTTCGACTGGAACCTCCCAGCCTGCCCTCTGTGGACGTTCATTACATTAATAGCAACCTAATAATAATCGTTCAATACGCTTCAGTGCCAACTTGTTTGCTAAAACCATGTGTTAGTTAAATTAATATATATCCTGGCTGGAAACAGTGAATTTATATTTGATTTGATTGATATGTGGGATTCGACATCCCTAAACCACCATATGATTACGAGAGACGCCGTAGTGGAGGGCTCCGGAAATTTCGACCACCTGGGGTTCCTTAAAGTGCACCCAAATCTGACGCCACGGGCCTACAGCATATGCGCCTCCATCGGAAATGCGGCCGCCGCAGCCGGGAATCGATCCCAAGACCTGCGGGTCAGCAGCCGAGTACCTTAGCCCCTAGACCACCACGGCGGGGGGGATTACAATTAGACGTGGGTTTAAAGGCATAGTTACCGGATATTTTGTTAATATTGCGTGACCGGGTTATGGTAATGTGTTCTGCTCACGTTTCTTACACTAACGTGCAAACTTTGCCACAGATTGCTTGCAGATTTCTCCCTCTTTAAACCGTAACAAGGCGTACGGACTCTTCACGACAGGCGTCCAAAGGGCACTGAAAATTGGCTACATGCTGTTTGGCTCGGCGAGTTGTACTTCTCCCCAAGCCGTGTATGACACCGTATTGCAAATAGCCGGCGCCTTCACCGCTCAACACAAAAGAATTGCGGCGCAGCACGTAAAAGTCACGTTCACGCTTGTTCATGTTGCGAGGGGTATGCCTGCTGAATAACAAATACAGCGACTACATAGACGAACTTGAAGTTTGCTAAACGTAATAAGCAAACAGCCTGATGATCCCAGGCGAGGCATTACTTTACAGTTATATCACGAACGAATCTAGGGGATTGACAGAGTTATAATTTGGAACGAGTGAGTGCTTACGTCGATAGAGTGTATCGCTCAGCCTTGCATTCGCGATGCGCGCCAAGCACTTGCGAATCTTCGCAATGTTCGACGACACAGTTTTGCCCTGGAAACGAGCTGTTACAAGTCAGTATCGCTTTTCACGTCTTTACCAAGCGTCGAAAGCCGGCAGATCGATGCGAGCAGACTTATTCTGGCAGCTGCATCGGCTGCTAGATCGCTCAAACATTTGTAATCGTTTCGGCCGGCAATACGTTCGCCGTCATTAGGAACGAAACAACGACCCTACAAGGCAGGTTAAGCTTGCCCGATAGCGCTATGGATCGAACTCTCATGACTTCGAAACAGCTTGCGCGAGATATTTGGCGTGTGGCTGGTCGTGATCGACCACGACAATCGCAGAGCATTACTACCACGTGTTGACGATGCAATGCTATGTTATACGGGGAAACTGAATTGGATACACACGTTTGCAAAGTGTGTTTGTTTCTTCCTGTGTTCGTTTTTTCGCCTCGCGCTACATAAATTTCTTTCAAATGTTTCACCAACAAGCCGACATCGCCACGCTTGTGCAAAGTAAAGCCTGATATCATTCGCGACCAATGTTAATAGCTGGGATGGCGAGTGATTTAGGGGATATGCGCAACTGATATAAGGAAAAAAAAATAGTAATAGCAGAGCTCATGAAGCCAGCCTGATATTGACAACTTTTTTTTTTTTCTTCATGTCTCGTATCTCCCCCTCCACCTGGCTTGTACTCGGGGCAGGGAAGTATATAGCTAAAAAAAATTAAAACGGCATATCAGGCTCATTATGCCCCGATGAAGAACCTATACGCTACCACATTGGCAACCTGACTGGCTGGTGCAACGTTGAACGCACAAATGGAATTCGCGAGTGTATTCGCGAATCCCGTTAGAACTTCCGCGTCGTGAATCGTTGTCGCTGCGTTTCGGTTCATCTCGTTCAGCTTTCCGCGACTCCTCGCCACTGCAAGTCCAAACGACACACTCTCGACAGCTTGTTTATGTGGGACGTGGTCTACTACAGCTGCATCGAATTCGTGGCTTCTACTGCGACGCCGCAATATAGGTAGTCGTTTTGTTTTCTAGCGGACACGCTGGGAGGCGCGGCGCACCCGCAACCTTTCCAGCCGCAAAGAACTATGCGGATTTCCAGGCGCCGGCTGTGTACTACAGGCGCCGCACGTGGCGGTCGCAATGAGCAACAAAGATTTGGCGGGAGACGGAGAGAGAGAGAACGGGCAAAAAAAGGGCGAGGGGAGACGCACTTATACGCATGCGTGCCGACGAGACCCGATTAAACATAAGAAAAAAAAGTAAAGTCATTGCAATGCAACATAACGACAAAGACGCGGGAGCAAAACAAACAACAACAAGCACACGCACAGAGGAAAAAGGGTGGTGCGGCTTCAGAGGGTCGCTGCAGGTACGCATGGCGGGTAGCTCGCCGGCTACGCACCTCCCCGTCGCCCCTAGGAACTGGGCCCCACGGTGGGGCCAGGTGCGCGGCCTACCGCCACCTGTGCGCTTCGCCGCCGCCGAACGGCGCTGGCTGCAGTCGCGGCGGTGCGACCGCTCACTGGAGCGGCACTGCGCCCCTCACCCTCGACATCTCCGTCGCGTCACCGGTTCCGCCGTGTAGACCAACCACGCCACGCACAAAACAACTGCGCTGCGCCAGCAACCGAACCTGGCCGCAACAAACGCGCGCAGCAGTAATAGTTAGCAGCGAAGCTATACCCGTATCATAAACGCGACTGCAGTGGCAACACGGCGGCCATTTAACACGACAGAAAACGGAGAGGGTGGGGGGAGTTGCGCGAAACGGAGTGGCTGTGCCCAAGGTGATCACTTATGAGAGACTTGCACACGTTTTACTTGCGATAATGCGGTTTTTGTCTGTAACGATTGCGAATCGAATGTCACGTGTCGTGAGCTATACACCAGAGCAAGCGATTACGGTAACTCACGTGTTTCAGTTACGGACGCCATCGCTGGCTTGCTCAGAATTACAATGCCTCGCTCGTGTATCTTGTTTTCTCACCAATGGCTGCAACAAGTGCTTCGAAGCGTCCGTCAACTCGTCCAACCGGGTGAGCTATTAACTAACACACATGTGGCCACAACTACTATAGAGAACAGGAAGACTAGGATGAATGATGTCAACGGTTAACTATAAGTGAATGCATGAGCTTAGAACTTTGGTAGCAAGAAAAAGTGTAGTCTTAGTGCCAGCTCTTCAAGAGGACCGGTACTTACATTTGAACGGTTGAAAAGTGAAATTCAGTCTCTGCGTCAGCAGTACACGGGAGAGATAATGTTCAAGAACGTGGTAAGTTCTTACCCGACGAGAAAACAAGGGACTAGAGAATGAAAACACCCAGCTGGCGTGTGTAGACTCTGCAGGAAATCAAAGCAGCAAATAAGTGTACGAGGAAACTACCCATTAATCTTTGCATTGCTCTCTATTTGCCGTTACAAAACGGCGCACTTGAAACTGAATGCTTAGTACGAGAACTGTGCAATGATCACCTTGGGGGCAGCCACTCACGTGAGCACGTGAGCAGCAGCAGTCGTTGGCACGCCGTCACATTGCATGCGCAGGGCTGCTGCTCCGCAGAAGCTGCTGAGGATGTACGTAAGCTGTTACGAGAATGGGCGGCAACTAAGCACCATGGGGAAATACACACACTCTCTCTCTCTCCTCTCCACGCGCTGAGATCACTGACGTTTACAACGGCCTCATGAACACACTTGGACTCGCTGGCCGCGCGGTTGAGCAATGTTGCCAGACTTTATCGAGTGTAGGCGGCAACCGAGAGAAGCGTTTGGCCATGTAGAACATGATATCCGGCGTCTCTCTTTTTTAGCAAAGTCGCCTGAATGACAGTCGACTCTAATTACAGGAAACAATTCAATATAGGCGTGTTCCGTTCCATCAACTTCGTGCAGTGCGGTGAAAGCCACCAGCGGTCACGTCAGGCAGCTAGCTACTCGTCGACCTTTAACCATTAATTTACCCGTGTTCAACGCGAGGTTAGTAAATGAACCGCCAGTTGATTAGTGCCAAGAGATAGGCGAGCGGCACCTTCATTTAGCGAAATGCAAAGCCGACTGTTCCTGTTTAGTGGCTGATCACACTTGTAGCGACCTTCGCTGTACTGCACGCAGTTGTTGGGCCGAAGTTTACAAAATCAATTCCTTCGACACTTGGCAGGAGTGTCGGTGCAATGAAACACTGGTCGCTTACACCTCTGTCTGACACGCAAACAGAAAAAAAAAAGACGCCCGTCGTAAGCCTGTTTCGGCATGTTAAACGACATGAATTAACCGTTGGCTGCTGCTTCGCCCTTTCAAACTCGTATATCCCGTATAGACACCATATCAGTGAGGGCTTGAGAGTGTCGAAAAAAAAAAATAAAATATAATAATGGCATGTAATCTCGGAGGGCTAAAAAATGACTAAGTGTTTCTCTACTGACTTCTCCTTGGTCACAAAGCGATGCCTTTGTGCAACAACAAACAAGGCGACCTATATTTCTACGAGAAAATGGCACTTCCAAAGTTTCAATGGATTTTGTTTCGTAACCACCCGAACGAGGATCTTAAATAAACATTTGGCTTAATCAGGTAAAAAGTGCCACAGGCTCCATTTTTTTTCTCACACTAGCACGTTACAACACGAGAGGCATGAAATATGGCGTATTGGTATTTTTAAAGTCACATAGAAAAGTTCTGATAGACGAATGACTATACACGGTTCGCTTTCCCGCATTTAGTTTTGGCAGCTCTTTTTTTTTTTTATTGCTCATTGGCTCAGCCAGCTATAGGCAGTGTACTCTTTCTCTGACGGACGTAAGTTCATTAACGTTATCCAAAACCAGCAAACGCAACTCGCCAAGCGTCGCAATTCAAACCCTTCTCGTCATTTCCAATCCGCACAGCGGCTTTCGACTACACATTTGGCTGCCACGGTCACCGCCTTATAGGCAACTTGGCACGGGTTCTCACGCAGCGAATTCGGAAATCTACACTCAAACTCACTGAGCTAAGGAACCATACAGCACATAACCAGACGCATGCAACCACAGCGTGTATTCACGACTGTTCAAACTGCCCACAGTTTCTTTCAACAGAAAAAGAAAAAGACGACATACCGAGCAGCTACGCTAAACACTGCAAAGCCATACCAACGAAAGAGAAGAAGAAACTGCGCAAGAAACGGCTGCCGACCTGTTTGTATACATATCGTGGGAGAGTGTATTTCACTCCCTATGTAATAGAGCCGGGAGCGCGTGATAACGCTGTTGCCAAACGGAGAGATCATACGGAGCTGAAAGCGGCGAGCAAAGTGCGCCGCACTTCATTGCACGGGGCCGCCTCTCATCTTGAACACGCTCCCACACGACGTCGCGAACGTGCAAACGCCGAGCGCCTAACCGAACACACCCATGCCACACACGCGTCGCCCGCATCCTGCACACACAGAGGAAACGCATTCAAAACATCACGTCAACGATGTCACGCCGCCGCGCCACCAAAAAACGTATAAATACACTCAGTATAAAGGTGGCAACGAGCGGCGTGGCTGTGTATACCCGTATTACCGTGAACAACGCGCCTTGGTGTGGTATGCAGTCGCGCGTCTTATTACCGTTTTTTTTTCTTTTCCTTCAGGTTTTGATATTTAGCAAAAAAAGCCTTTGATTTCTGGATCCTTTGGAACGTGAAGCGAACGCTTTGCAGAACAGAATGGGGTTTTAGCGGCTTTTGATGTATCGCAGAAAGGGACATATACACTACACAGACGTGAAAGTTTTCCGATAACGTAAAGGGAAGAACAGGAGAATCATTCGATTCGCGCGCAGAGCTCGAGGAGCGGAAAGTGCAGTTCTGAACAGAGACAGAAGCCTTTCCTTTTGATGGGGCACCCGCATAATGGACACGCTAAGGGCGTGGAGCCTTGCCGCCGCGTGCTGCCTCGCATGTATACGTCGCCTAACTCTCTCCATCTTTCTTTACAATATGCACACTGTCAATATCTCTGTCTATGTATATATATTTATATAATATATTTATGTACGCGTAATATCCTATACGTTCACAAACACCCTTCGCAAAATACATACAGGGAAAATAAAGAGCGCGTCACTTCCTTTCTTTTTGATATTCAACCGTCAAAAAACGTTTGATTTCCTCTGTTTTTTTTTTTTTAAACCTGGCTCGATACCCGTTGGCAGGCACACTCGCACAATCGTCGAGTGCCAAAATGGAGTCCGCACAAGTCCGCTACAACACAGGCGGGGGTGTTAGCCCTCGCTTATACTATAGCACAGTCCCCACACTGGACTGCACCTCGGGGAACAACGGGGGGAGAGGGTTTAACAACGGGTGACGCCGACATGGGAGTCCGTGCGAGGAAGTGCAAAGATACTTCCTCTGCTCCGCTAGGACGAGGCGGCCAGCGCGAAGGAACCGTTGCTCGTGCTGTCGCCGTCGTGGTCCGGTGACAGCCCTCGCGCCAGGCCGGGTGGCAGCACGTGCGGCAGTGCCAAGCCGTGAGCGAGGCTCCGGCGCCGCACCAGGTCTAGCTGGAAGCCAGCTGCCAGCCGGTCCTCGAGCCGCTCTCCGAGCCGGTGATGGTCGACGCTGAGCCGGTGGTCGATGCCGAGCCGGTGGTCCACGGCCGAGAGTCGGTGGTGGTCGACGACGACGCCCTGCAGCCGCTCGGCGAGCAGCTCCTTGCGCCGATGGTCGTTGTTGATGCGCAGGTCTTGCTCTTCTTCTTCGGGTTCCTCCATGATGTCGTCTTCGCCGTCGTACATGTCCTCCTCCTCGGGAGCCTCGGAGTCGGACCGCGAGCTGGACAGGTCGAGCACGCCGGGAGTCGGGTAGCGGTACGGCGTCGACGGCAGCAGCAGCGGCGTCGGCGACATGGACATGTCCAGCGGCTCGGTCTGCTCCGTCTCGAGGAACAGGTCGCGCTGCTGAGGCGTCAGGATGCGTATCGTGTGGCGCGGCTTGCGCCGGCTCTTGGGCGGCTCCCCCAGGGGTCCGCCGGTGGCCGAGTGGGCCACGGGCGGGATTCCGGCGCCCACCACAGCTGCGGCGGTGGGTGAAAGGGCGGCAGCCAGGCTGTTGTTGACCACGACGGGCACCCCGGTGGTCGTGGCGGCCAGGGAAGGACGGCTGACGAGGCCTCGTAGGCGCGAGGCCTCCGGCCGCGGCGCGGCTTGCCGGCGTTCGCCTCGTCCTTGGGGCACTTGTGGTGCATGAGGTGGTGGCGGCGCCTGAAGCGGCCCATGCAGAGCTGGCACTCGAACGGCTTCTCGCCCTTGTGGATGAGCATGTGCGCCTTGAGCTGGTTCGAGTCGGAGAACTTGGAGTCGCACAGCTCGCAGGCGTACGGCCGCTCGCCGGTGTGCACCCGCAGGTGTCGGCGCAGGTTGGCCACCTGCACGAACTGGCGGTCGCAGTGCGTGCAGTGGTACGGCTTCTCGCCCGTGTGCAGCCGCATGTGCGTCTTGAGGTGGTGGTCGCGCGTGAAGCGCTTGTGGCACTCGCGGCACTCGAAGGGCTTCTCTCCCGTGTGCGTGCGCTCGTGGTTCTGCAGCACATGCTTGTAGCCGAAGCATCGCCTACAGACAGTGCACGTGAAGACCTTGTCGCGCGGCGCCTCGCGTCGTCCCAGCAGGTTCGAGAGGAAGGCCAGCTCGCCCGTCGTCGAAGATGCGGCGCCCGGGAGCGGCGGACTACGCGAGCCGCCGGCGCCTCCCGCGCTCGACGGCGCCGAAGAAGAGCCCGCCTGCGCCGTTGCCGCCGCTCGTGGTGCTCGCCGCGCTGCCGGGGCTGCCGCCGTTGCTGCGACATTCCTCGGCCTCACTGGCCTCTTTCATCGCACTCCGGTGACCTGCGCGGCAACACACTGAAATTAGGCATCCGATTGGCTGAGCGCAGAAGCATGGTAGTTTGCCGTCCTTATAGACACCAATAAATGAAAAAGAAGGGAGAAAGGGGGGGGGGGGGCACGAAGTCTATCCCATACATTGACCCAATAGAAAGGTATACGGGACGCTGCCAAAACCCTTAACCCTATCCCCCCCCTACTTTGAAGGGGAACCCTGCACGCGCTTATGACCTCGACAGTACTATAATGCGAAACATACTCACGTTCAAAGAGGGAAGGGTCGACCGAGAGATAATTGTAGTCGTATACAGTGCACTTTACTGCCTAACATAAATGTGACGCAACGCACGAACAAAAAAAAATAAAACAAAAAACGTCGTCTTTTTTTTTTTTCACTACAGTTTGCTACGTACGATTCGCAGGAATCAGATATTCATGGACCCAACCTGGCTGCTGACAGCAGCTTTCAGCCTTGGTGGACGTTTAGGGTTTGTACATAGAAAAATAACAAAGCTGAAGTACAGCTTGATGGTCGCGATTTGCTGCATACACTACAAGACTCTTTCAAAACGCAGCAAAGGCAAAAAAATTGCCCGCAGCTTCCCTCGGGGGAACACTGAGGAGGCTGCGGAACATATAATTGGTTAACGGGGTGTTAAAGTGCGACTTACTTGGGTCGATGGCTAAATTGGTTAACGTGGTTGTGAAATGGGGTGTTAAATTGCGACTTACTTGGGTCGATGGCTAAATTGGTTAACGTGGTTGTAGGAGGGGGTGTTAAATGAGTGAACACGTACACACGTATGCGAAAGGGCGGCGCTGGTCGAAGGGACGTCGATCATTGTGTTTGTGGATTCGTTGGAATTCATTTCACCGCGACCTTGGACGTCGACGCGCCGTACAAACCAACCGACGAGCGGCAACTGAGCGAGCGAGCGCCGACCTTGAGTATATATACAGCGCGACGGCGCATGCACTGTCAGCTGTCGAATGTTCGAGAAGGGGGAGAAGCACAACGGCGCATGCGCGCGCGTGAGCTGCCGATGTTCTCGAAGCGCGACGGCGCATGCGCGCGCGTCAGCTGCCGATGTTCTCGAAGCGTGACGGCGCATGCGCGCTACATTATACAGCTAGCGAATGTTCGTGAAGAGGAGAAGCGCACGCGGTGTGTAGAGGAGGAAGGGTGCACAGATGGTGGAGGAGTGAAGCGCACGCGGTGTGTAGAGGAGGAAGGGATGCACAGATGGTGGAAAAAGGAGGAGGAGGCTTGTGGACGGCGCCGCACTACAAGCCTCGAGTATTAGATGCTCCGCATCTAAAAAAAAATCATTATAAACGCGGGCCGCTTATATAGTGGTACAATGCTGAACTGACAGCCGAGCCTTTCACAAATCTACATTATTAGTAATGTAATAATTAAGAATGTCCCAATTAGTGCAGCATTATATAGCAAGTCCTCGCCTTCTCTGCTATTATCTGTTGTTTCCCCTCCCTGTCTCTCTCTCTCTTCAGATCTGTGTTTAGAAGAAATGTTCTACGACTTCGAGTACGACGTATACTATACTATATGAGAATGCTTTGAGCTGTCCCAGTCTCTACAAAAACAACAGAATACACACGCTCGACTCTACACAACGACGATTACTCTTTTGCGAAATTGTGACTGTTCTGTGTGTTTAGAAAAAGTGCCTAATAATTTAGAAGGACTTGGTGTTCTACTATGGGAGAGCTGAAAGCCGTCCCGGTGGCTTCACATTTGATAGGGCGCATCAAAAATAAATAAATAAAAAAATGCCGTTTAAGCAGGATGACAGACTACGGAGATTTTTGCCACGTACTGCGGACATGATGCTATATAGCGGGTATGTTTAGAAAAAAAAGTTGTAAGCGATTTAGAGTACTTGGTACTCCACTATGGGGGACCATAAAGCCGTGTGTTTAGAGCAAACTGTTCGACGATTTAGAGTACGATGTATGCTCTACTATATATGGGATAGATTTGAACGAGTCCTCGTTGTTAAGCAAATCTAAAGGGCAATAGTACGTCTTATCATATTTCGAATTTTGCTACACTTTGCTCAGAGGGCCCACGCGCCGATCAAAAGCCGACATTGCATATTCCTCGTGTAGACAGACCTCAGTGAATGTGCTGGCCACTGATCTTATCCGCCATATTGCTAACGATAACAGAAAAATGCACTATAAATATCCTGATTAACCGAATGTACATCGACAAGAGAAAGCTACCTTCATTATAATCAATTCTAAGATGAAGAGGATTGATGAAGAAAACACACGCTAGTCGAGTTATTGCGTTGAACACGCGGTAACGCAGCAATATATATATATATATATATATATATATATATATATATATATATATATATATATATATATATATATATATATATATATATATATATATATTCTGGTCACGCGAAACGGCTGAACGATAAGCTTGAACAGCTCCACCGTTGAAAGAAAAAAAGAGCACACGCAATTATTATGTGCTTAATTGGCATAAAAATCCTCAAACTTAAAGAAACAATTGCCCCGCCGCGGTGGTCTAGTGGCTAAGGTACTCGGCTGCGGACCCGCAGGTCGCGGGTTCGATTCCCGGCTGCGGCGGCTGCATTTCCGATGGAGGCGGAAATGTTGTAGGCCCGTGTACTCCGATTTGGGTGCACGTTAAAGAACCCCAGGTGGTCTATATTTCCGGAGCCCTCCACTACGGCGTCTCTCATAATCAAATGGTGGTTTTGGGACGTTAAACCCCACAAATCAATCAATCAATAAAGAAACAATTACTCTGGTCACATATATACCATCGTGTAAATAAGAGGGGCACGCGAAGACAAAGACTTGGGAATATACGCTATACACTGATTGAATAACCTAAATCAACGCTACACATTGGCCTCTGGACATTGACCACTGGACCTGAGTAATTGCTTGACGAGTTTGAATTTTTACGCCACTCAGACGCTATTTAGCAAGCGTCTTACACTCACTGGAACACATTTGCGTGGATACACATGCTACACAATGAACGGTCACGTCTGGGTTCGTTGGAACGAAAAGCCCGACAGACCACGCGCTATTGAACCACAAGGTCACATATAGCCGAGAGCATGCCCGCACTTCACCTTGTTCACATTCAAGTTTCATGCTAGAAAACTAAGCAAGTTCTAATCTATGACATAATACATTTCCCGCCTATAAAAATGCGACTGCCATTACTAGTATTAGAGCTTATGTCCTCGAGCTTAGCAGCGCACGCACTTCAGTCGATATACTATACCACAACATGCAGTTTATCAATTCTTATTTATGCGAGTATTCTAAGGGCACGACATAGAAGATGGAGGTAATGAAAATGTGAGTGCAAAGAGAGGGTGGGGTGAACAGGTGAGAATCAACACAGAAACAAAAAAAAAAAAAACGCCAGGTCTGCGCAGTCGCGAAGCACAGTCACAGCGAAAGCTGGAAAAGCGGACATTCAGAGCCTTTTCAAAACACTTATTGGGTAACTATTGCAAGCACACTTGCTTGGTACCCGCTAGGGCATTAATAATAAATTTTTGTGCAGTATTCCGGCATTCGCTATGCTATTTTTCGGCATTCTTCTGAGAAGCGTGGTATCCGCTAAACACTTGCTAGGAAATTTTTGCCAATTGTCCATGCAGTGGCTGACAACGATGGGGAACTATGGCTGAAGTGGGTATGCACCACAGTTAATAGGGGAACAAGTACAAGCTTTTGTGATGATTTGGAGCATTGGACGTCCTACTCGTTACGCTATTTCCATTGTGCGACGACTGGCTGTTCTTTCGCTATGTTGTAAAACGCTTTATAAGTCGTATTAACGCGATTGCTTTCCCGACATTAAGCCTGTCTAAGGCAAGTTTGACAACAAGTCCCAAGCACCGGCGTAACTCAGTGGTAGAATATTGGGCTGGCACGCAGTGGACCCGGGTTCAAGCCCCACTGTGTCATTGGTTCAAAGTTTAATTTCGCTCGATGTGGTTACGGACACCAGCGGCGGCGGACAACTGCGCGTGACCCGAAAAGTAATCTCATAACAGCTTTCGCTGTAAAATAATATATAGTATACCTTTATAGAGTTACACAATCCCTATCATCATCGTACTCGTGAAGTGACGAACGCAATGACACATGAAGAGTTCTTTCAAGGGATGAAGTAATCCAGAGGGTGCAATGAAAAGGCCCGAAAAGGTACAGGAGGCAAAACACCACTGTAATGATGATGAGGCCTTGTACTACAATGTTAGGGTGGAAGATGGGTTTCGATAAAGCACTCATATTCTGCTATGCATGGAATGTTTCCTTCCAAAAGAGCGTTGTTCGAGCATCTCGAGACTCACGTGGTTGCATGAGGCACACGAATCTTCCAAGTATCCGACAAAAACGCATCCACCAGAAGAGCGTACGTGAAACGACGCGAATCCATCCAAGTGAGCGGCATCCCAGAAGAGCGGTCACCGAGTGCATACCCCATGGAAGCCCTTCTCGGAGCAGCTGTCGGCCCTCGCCGCAGAAGGAGTACGCAGCCCCGAGTAGAAGGGGTGGCAAGGCGGCGGCACGGAAGCGAAGTATGGTGACTGCGTAACCGCCGGACTATGGTGCACACACCACACACACACAAGACGGTCGACCTTGAAGCCAGCCTCCCTCAGCGGGAAGTGACGCGAAAGGAGGCCTGCAATGGCACCGGCCGCGCAATACCCCCCGCCCTCCTTTTATTCCATGTAGAGAGTGTGTAAGGAGCGAGCGCGAAAAAAGAAGACATGTCAGAAAGCCACGGCCCGGGTCAGACTGTGGAGCAAAATAAAGAAACGCGGAGACGTCATTGTAGCCGAGGCGCCTCGCTCTCGGAAAGGAAAGAGAGCGGTAGAAGAAATATGGTCGTGGCTCGAGGCGGAAGGGGTGCA